AAATTTTAAAAAATCTAATTTCGTCATACATTTAGGCCAAAATGTATTCTGCTACATGTCTTTACTAAAAAAAAATCCCAGATATGTATAAATTATTTGGTTGACATGAAAGTTATAGCGTTTGCAAATGGTGAAATATATACTGGAATTTATTTTTTATTTTTACTAGTAATGGCGGTGATCAGCGACTTATAGCGGTACTGTGGCGGGCATTCTGACACTGGGGGGAACTGACTTGGCATCACTGACATCCCCAGTGATACCAAAGCAGTGATCAGTGCTAAAAAAAAAACTGACACAGTGCTAATGGCACTAAGCAGGAAGGGGTTAACATGAGGGGTGATCAAAGGGTTAACTGTGTGCTGTTTTACTATATGCTGTGTGTTGGTGCTTCACTGTAATCACACTGATTTTGTGCACCTGTGCCGCCCTGTAGCAGTATATCTGCTATAAGGCGGTCGGGAAGCAGTTAAACTGAAAGAAATATGAAGGTGAAGATGTGAAATTCTATCCACCTACCACCCAAAAAAAAATGATTGTTAAATATTTGCCTACGCTTACAGTAAAAAATAAATTATCACATTTTGACATCATAAGTACATCTAAAGTCTAAATACGATCACTGCTTTTTTTTAAAAAAAGCTAATTCTCATCTCTCTGGAGTGGTTTTTCTCTAGAAAACACTAAGCTCAAGATATAAGATTTAATGCAAAGTCATGCTAAAACCAATTTAGTAGGCTCAATCAAAATCAGAGAATCAAAACAGCATTGCACTTGGCTGAAATACATGACCTCAAAAACAAGTCCTGTTCAGATGTCTTCCAATTTTCCGTAAATAGCCTAATCGCCTTCCTTTTTTTATCCTGAAGAATGCTTGTCATTGTGTCAGATGTTCTCCCCTAAACAGGTTTAATGCTCATTGAATATATTTCCCCAGAGCCATTTTCCTTATTAAGTTAAAATGAAGTATTTAAATATGGCTGTCAAAGTTCAAACGTCATAATAATTCTGGGCCCTTGACAAATTCCATTGTAACGACATAATTCTGACCTAAGGTTGTAAAATTTCTTCTGATTTACATTAAATTTGGCAGATTGGGAGACCGCTTTCCAAGACGAAGTTGCTTCCCCCTTCTACTACAATATAGCATCACCACATTTAATCATTAAACTGACATTACATAAATGCAAAACTTCATTTTCCAAAAAGTACAGTATATAGAAAGATCTTCCCTTTTGGTAGGAATACACGATTAGAAAGCTGACCGACCTTCGGCCATCTACCAACAAAACACTGTTTATTGGTTGAAATGAATGCCTACATTACCCAATTGAATTTTTTTTTTTTCGCAATTTCATACATAGTGTTGACATCTAACCATACAAGTGTAAGGGATATAGTGTGTGTGACCTTGAAGCCATGCTCTTTTGCCCAGAATGAACATTCAACACGCTTCGTTGCAGGGACTGGCATTGGAACTGATTAATTGAGGATATGTGATACTTTGCGGACTTATATATTAGATTTTATGATTTGTTTCAATAAATAATAAATTAATATATACAATAATCTTTATAACTTTTTAAATCAAAATAACCCTTTTTTTATATTACAGATTTTATAGATTTTATTATATCTTTTTGATGTTTGTTTTGCCGTTTTCAAATCTAATTTTATATTTGGAATTTTCATTTGTGTTTATGAAACTTCTTTCTTGGGTGTATTCCTCCAGGTCATCGACAATTTCCGCTCATGGTAGATTGTGACGGGAGTGACTTTTGGGGGTGGTGGGACCTCTGTATCATCTCCCCAAATCCTTATGTTTAATCCACCCTGTGCCTGTTTAAGGGTACAGGGTGTACATGTGAATGTCCCAGTCTTGTGCATTTGTGTGTTTTCCTTTGTCTAGGCCACATGGCTGTCCATTGTTTGTTTGCCATGTGCTACCCCCCATTGTGCGGTGTCTTCCTGTCCAGCCAACTATTATGGGATGTACTGTTTGTGTATTGGTGTGGGGGTTGGTCAATGTCCTTTGCCATGTGTTTCATCCCATTGTTCTGTGTCTTGGGTTGGTTAGGGTGGTTCCCTGTAGCCCTTCCCACTGATAGGGCGGGTTGATGATGTATTTCCTGTTCCTGGTTGTGTTTCCCCACATTCTGTATGTATTCTGTGTTTTGTGTTAAAATAAAGAGTTGGCTTCCTGTTTAAGTAGAGCTGGGTGCTGTCTGTTTCCTGAGGGATTTCAAGGGTGTGGTCCGTGGATGGTGTTCGGACGGGGGAAGCTGCAGTATAACGGAATATACCCAAGTGCGGTCGGGTTCCGGTTCCGTTACATAGATAATGCACAGTAGATTTTTAACTGACAACCTTCACACTAACATATAGAAAATTGTTCACATGCGATACATAATTTTTCCATTTTGTTCAATCGGTCTCTTCTGTTCATAAAATCGATATTGGGTAAAATTGCCTGGCCATCAATGAGTGGAAAATCAGATGATGGTGTTGATGACATTTCACCGCATATCCCAGTGGCTTTCTCAGTGTAAATAACTGTCAATAACATACCAGAGGATTTCTACCAAAATGTGTCACCTTAAAGGGTAGTGCCACTTTTGTGAAAAAAATGTAGCAAATTAAAAATAATATGACATATACACAAGCCATGTTGTAAGTCTGCAGCCTCTGTAATTTTCTGTAAAATTCAACTTCTTGAACACATTTAGAAATGTAATTTTCTGCTTATATGATTGGCTCACTGATTGCCCCAGAAGTCTGCACTAAGCTACAAGGCTAATTTTAGGTACCTGCTGTCATAGGAACTTCAGTTGTGGTGAGATACTCACCAAGGGTTGAATACTTCTAAAGGGATGCAGACCCTGCAGTTTTGCTCATTAGAACACTGAGAGTACACCAGGTGATTATAAAAGATCATACTCTCCTATTCAGAATCAGTGTCCAAAGGACATGGTCAAACAAACATAGAGCAAGGATTATTGCAAGAAAAAAGGTAAGACTTGCAACAAAGTTTGTTAAAATCTCTGGAATATACATTGAGCACCCTGGTGGTGTGTTTTTTCTCAACAAAAGTAGTTACTCTTTAATACTGAACTCTGCAGATATAAAAGACGCAATATAATTTAGCTCTGGGATTATGATCACATCTTTAAATGTATTTTAATGCAAGCATTACCTGAATTTGGCCTGATATCAATCTCTTACTGTACCGATACAGCAGCACTGGTTTATGAGAGGAAGAAGCTGTACAAGGAACCAATTAGTTCATGTGCTTACAAAAATCATGTTGATAGAAGGAGAGAGCAGAGTGCTCGAGAGATGAGCTCATCAGTGTTCTGTTTCACCGTTCACTGTCCAGTCACAGGCTGGAGCAGGTCCAGGAGAACTTGGGCTAAGAAATTACCCAATTGCTTTTACTGAAGTGAGTAGGAATAAACTCAGATGACTACAAGGCCCCCCTTCCCCCAAGCTGGTTTCCAGGCTTTACCGCTTCTCCGGGGAGGCTGGGACCATGGTAAATGACCAGAATCTCTAAACAAAGAGGAGATGGAGGAACATCTGTTCCCCCATCTCTTCTGTGACTAATGAAGCCAGAAGCAACAATGATTTCATCACTTCCGGTTTCAGAGCTGTCATGTCTCCATACAGAGTACCTGTCACTGCCCAAAGCTTGTTAGCCCTCTTATGATAGCAATAAAGTTAAACTAGAAAAACATTTAAAAAATGTAAATAGAAAAATGTTTAAAGAAGCAAATACAAATATTTTTTAAAAATAGCACCCTCTGTGCATACATGCAAATGCAAACATGCCTGTAGGTCCTATGTATGTATGTATGTAAGCAACGATTGCACCACACATACTGTATAAGGTATTGTCCCTAGCATCATACTGAGAGAAATAATTCTAGGGCCATCATTCAGGATTGACTCAACACTGATAACCCGTGTAGGCTTTTAACAGCTTCAGATCCGGAAGATTTTACCCCTTCATGACCAGGCCATTTTTTGCTATACTGCACTACGCTACTTTAACTGGCAATTGTGCGATCATGCAACACTATACCCAAACACATTTTTTTTATTATTTTCTTTAAAAATAGAGCATTCTTTTGGTGGTAATTGATCACCACTGAGTTTTTATTTTTATTATATAAACAAAAAAATACCGAAAATGTTGAAAAAAATCTCCAATATTTTTTATTTTTTGCTATAAAACATATACAATTAAAAAAAATAAAAATTACATTTCTTTCAAAATTTAGGCCAAAAATGTATTCTGCTATGTGTCTTTGGTAAAAAAAAAAAAAAAGAAGTGTATATTAATTGGTTTTCAATAAAGTTATTGTCAGGAATGGACTTGCCAGTAATGGTGGGACTCACCTGCCTTGTGGGCTGCAGTACCAGTGCTGGCCAGCGGGTGCTCCCAGCAATCAGAGACTCAACCCTGCAGCCAGCCAAACACCTGAAGTTGATCATGCAGGTGTATTTAAGGGATGGCCAGACCTGCAGTCTCTGCCTTGGTGTGTGTTTTTCCTGGGCCCTGTATCTTGTTCCTGCATCCCTGTCCCTGTCCCTGTCCCTGTCTCTGTCTGATTCGTTGCTGACCCTGCCTGATCCGGACCTCTGCTGACTTCTCCTGTTTTATCCCTGGCTTGTGACCCCGACCATTCTCTGCCTGACCCCCTGTACCTACCTGCCCGATTGTTATTGACCCGGCCTGCCTGACGACGCTTGCATTGTATGTACTGTTATCTGTGGGTGGTTTGGTTTGGTTCGTTTGCACTGTGTTATGTTTTAGTATTGCACTGTGTTTATGTTTGTATTGTTAGTCTTCAATAAATTATATTGTTTATAACTTATCTGAAGCCTGCGTTTCCCTGTGTCAGTCACATACCTCTGGTCACACCCCGGAGCCCTGATATTACACCAAGGCCAATCCTGACCAGAAGTGGCTGCACAGGGAAGCCATCTTGGCTTGTTGCTGGGAAGGATGGATCTTGATGAGGTGGTGTATTTATCTCTGCTAGTGTTTGATGACAGAGAGTATGCTTATCAAACTCTGAAGGAGTATCCCAGGGATGAACTGCTAGAATGTATACGGATCGCTCATGTTCTAGTAGATCAGGGCACAGAATTCTCTGAGGTGCAGCCATTGATTCAGGTTTGTGCTGAGTTGGTTTCATCTGGTACCCCCGAATGCAGGGATGAATTTTTGCCGCCATTTAGTGCCAACCAGGTAGAGTCCCTGGTATGGTTGTTAGAGGATGATGTGGATTACTTTCTGGAGCGTTATTCTGCATGTTCACCACAGATACTAAGAGATTGTATAAACGCAGTGCAGTCTTTGGTCAGACAGGCTTTGTGTAAGCTGAGCTTTGTTCAACCCATACTGCAGACATGGTCAGACTTGTTGCACCCAGCCTCAGTCAGCTTACAACATTATTCCTCCACTCAAGGCACTCTTCCTGCATCCCCGACAGCACCCCCAGTGACTGCCCAGTATACTCTAACTACCACATACCAGTCCTCTGCTCCCACTCGCTGCACCTATCCTTTCTTTAACCCTGTAAAGAAGTCCTCTGTAGCAACTGCTCCCTCCTTGTTCCATCTTCCAGCTCTTCTCTGCCCTCAGCTGCTCCATTAGTTGGCAGACCTGCGTTTACTTGCAGTGCCCCAGTAGTTAAAACCAGAAAAAAGCGGAAATTCTTTCCAACCAGTACCATCCTGCCAGTATCCAAACCGGTGAGCCTGCCGTCTGAGAACCGGCCTTCCGTGGTTCAGCCTGGTGTCTCGGCACCCGCACTTCAGCCTGATGCCTCTACCCAGCCTGATGCCTCCACCCAGCCTGATGCCTCCACTCAGCCTGATGCCTCTATAAAGCATGATGTTTCTACCCAGCCTTATGAACTGATCCAGCCTGATGATTCCATTAGGCCAGTTGACTCGATGCCCGCTGTCGATCCAGACGATCCGGTACCTGATGACCCAGTACCCGCTGTCATGCCTGGTGACCCGATGCCCGCTGTCGAGCCAGACGATCCAATGCCTGATGACCCAGTGCCCGCTGTCATGCCTGGTGACCCGATACCCGCTGTCGGGCCAGACGATCCAATGTCTGACCCCAGTGCCCGCGGTCATGCCAGTTGACTCGGAGCCCACTGTCGTGCCTGGTGACTCGGTGCCCACTGCCTTGCCAGATGACGCGGTGCCCGCTGGCGAGCCAAATGACCTGATGCCTGGTGACCCAGTGCCCGCTATCGAGCCAGACGATCCCATGCCTGATGACCCAGTGCCCGCTGTCATGCCTGGTGACCCGATGCCCGCTGTCGGGCCAGACGATCCAATGTCTGACCCAGTGCCCGCAGTCATGCCAGTTGACTCGGTGCCCACTGTCGTGCCTGGTGACTCGGTGCCCACTGCCTTGCCAGATGACGCGGTGCCCGCTGGCGAGCCAAATGACCTGGTGACCCGAGTGCCCGCTGTCATGCCTGGTGACCCGATGCCCGCTGTCGAGCCAGACGATCCAACGCCAGATGACCCGGTGCCCGCTGTCGATCCAGACGATCCGGTACCTGATGACCCGGTGCCCGCTGTCTTGCCAATTGACTCAGAGCCCACTGTCGTGCCTGGTGACTCGGTGCCCACTGCCTTGCCAGATGACGCGGTGCCCACTGTCGAGCCAAATGACCTGATGCCTGGTGACCCGATGCCCGCTGTCGAGCCAGACGATCCAATGCCTGATGACCCAGTGCCCGCTGTCATGCCTGGTGACCCGATACCCGCTGTCGGGCCAGACGATCCAATGTCTGACCCAGTGCCCGCGGTCATGCCAGTTGACTCGGAGCCCACTGTCGTGCCTGGTGACTCGGTGCCCACTGCCTTGCCAGATGACGCGGTGCCCGCTGGCGAGCCAAATGACCTGATGCCTGGTGACCCAGTGCCCGCTATCGAGCAAGACGATCCCATGCCTGATGACCCAGTGCCCGCTGTCATGCCTGGTGACCCGATGCCCGCTGTCGGGCCAGACGATCCAATGTCTGACCCAGTGCCCGCAGTCATGCCAGTTGACTCGGTGCCCACTGTCGTGCCTGGTGACTCGGTGCCCACTGCCTTGCCAGATGACGCGGTGCCCGCTGGCGAGCCAAATGACCTGGTGACCGAGTGCCCGCTGTCATGCCTGGTGACCCGATGCCCGCTGTCGAGCCAGACGATCCAACGCCAGATGACCCGGTGCCCGCTGTCGATCCAGACGATCCGGTACCTGATGACCCGGTGCCCGCTGTCTTGCCAATTGACTCAGAGCCCACTGTCGTGCCTGGTGACTCGGTGCCCACTGCCTTGCCAGATGACGCGGTGCCCACTGTCGAGCCAAATGACCTGATGCCTGGTGACCCGATGCCCGCTGTCGAGCCAGACGATCCAATGTCTGACCCAGTGCCCGTGGTCATGCCAGTTGACTCGGAACCCACTGTCGTGCCTGGTGACTCGGTGCCCACTGCCTTGCCAGATGACGCGGTGCCTGCTGGCGAGCCAAATGACCTGATGCCTGGTGACCCGATGCCCGTTGTCGTGCCTGATGACCCGGTGCCCGCCGCTCCGCCTGGGGGCCCGGTGCCTGCCGTCCCCCTGGGGGTCCGGCGCCCGCCGCTCCGCCTGGGGGCCCGATGTGCCGCTGCCCGGAGTCCTGCCCGATGTGCCGCTGCCCGGAGTCCTGCCCGATGTGCCGCTGCCCGGAGTCCTGCCCGGTGTGCCGCTGCCCGGAGTCCTGCCCGGTGTGCCGCTGCCCGGAGTCCTGCCCGGTGTGCCGCTGCCCGGAGTCCTGCCCGGTGTGCCGCTGCCCGGAGTCCAGCCCGGTGTGCCGCTGCCCGGAGTCCAGCCCGGTGTGCCGCTGCCCGGAGTCCAGCCCGGTGTGCCGCTGCCCGGAGTCCAGCCCGGTGTGCCGCTGCCCGGAGTCCAGCCCGGTGTGCCACTGCCCGGAGTCCTGTCCTGTGTGCCGCTGCCCGGAGTCCAGCTCGATGTGCCTTTGCCCGATGTGCCGCTGCCCGGAGTCCTGCCCGGTGCGCCGCTGCCCGGAGTCCTGCCCGGTGTGCCGCTGCCCGGAGTCCTGCTCGATGTGCCTCTGCCCGGAGTCCTGCCCTGTCCTGCCCGGAGTCCTGCCCGGTGTGCCACTGCCCGGAGTCCTGTCCGGAGTCCTGCCCGATGTGCCAGTCTTTGATATCCCGCCAGTTACCTGACCTGGGCGTGTGGAACATTTTGCCCAGCTAGGACTGTTTGGAGCGTCCTGAGGCCGCTCCTTGAGGGGGGGGGGTACTGTCAGGAATGGACTTGCCAGTAATGGTGGGACTCACCTGCCTTGTGGGCTGCAGTACCAGGGCTGGCCAGCGGGTGCTCCCAGCAATCAGAGACTCAACCCTGCAGCCAGCCAAACACCTGAAGTTGATCATGCAGGTGTATTTAAGGGATGGCCAGACCTAGCAGTCTCTGCCTTGGTGTGTGTTTTTCCTGGGCCCTGTACCTTGTTCCTGCATTCCCTGTACCCTGTCCTGAGCCCTGACAGTTATAGAGTCTACAAACTATGGCATATACAGTATACTGAAATTTTTATTTGTTTATTTATTTTATACTAGTAATGGCGGTGATCAGCGAGATAGGGAGATAGATAGATAGATAGATAGATAGATAGATAGATAGTGGGACTGTGATAGTGTGGCGGGCAATCTGACACTAACTGACACTTTTGACACTGTGGGAACCAGTGACACTAATACAGTAATCAGTGCTAATAATATACACTGACACTGTACTAATGGCACTGGGAAGGGGTTAACATCTGCGGCAAAGGGTTAACTGTGTGCCTAACAGTGTCTGGTGTATTGACACTGTTGTGTTTTTTATTAAAGGACGTGCAGGTTTTTATTCCCTGCTTTGCAGGAAAACAAAAATGGTTCATCCCTTTGTCAGGACAGAGCTCTGTGTTGTTTACAATCACAGACCTCGGTTCTGTCATCCTCTTTGCCATTCAGCAGGTCCCGGCCGGCGATCATTCGCTGGGACCCACTGATCGGCTTTTGCTATCGCTAATCACAGCATAGCACGCGCCCCCTACTTGGAAGAGCTGGATCACGTATTAGATACATTAGAAAGCAGTTAATTCATCTGCCCATCCTCCATTCATAGAATGTGTTTAATTCATGAAAGTTGAAATACATCTTCTATGAGAGGAGGAAGCGGGCAGAAAGGGCTGGCACACTGCCTTACACATTAGTAGCATTCCGTTCACTGCCCAATCACAGCAGCTTTCAAGTCCAGTTCACACTAGAATCCCAGTTCCACTGAAGTGCGATTTTGCAGCCCATTTATTTGAATGGACTGCAAATCAAACAGGACCATAGAAAAAAGTAGTGCATGCTAGATTGTATGGTACTGCAGTACCATGCAATCTGGTGCCTGAAAACATGTGCTAAGGCAGTGCGTCTTGAACACAGTGCTGGAAAGCCGCATGGAACGCACCTTTCCTGCACCATGTTCTGGTGTGAAACTGTCCTCACCCTCTCAGAGAGCTTAACCAGCAATCCTGTCCCACTGGGAGACTCCAGTGTTCAGCAAGCGGTTCTGCTCATCATCTTTATGGTCCAAGAAACCAGAAGCGATCAGCATTTCATCACTTCCAGCTTTGCGGTTGTAATCAAACCCTTATGCAGGCCATAGACGGTTCGTTTATCGGCCAATTTTTCGGCCGAAAAACTAAACATCGGTCGTTCTGTTGCCACCAATGATTGCGAAAATCAGCCGTTTTTCCGCAAATTTTCCAGCATGATCGATAAAAGAAATGAGGAGGAACTGCGATTATTCTTTCAGACGAAAAATTGTCCGATAAACAAACCGTCTATGGGCTGCATTAGGGATTTGAAAAAAGCATCAGGTCATACTGATCTTGGTTTGGTTCAAAGCTTTGAAGGGCAGAGGAGGGATCTGGGGTCTAATAGACCCCACATCTCTCACCAAAGAGTACCTGTCACTGCCTATTGCTATCACAGCGGATAGTCATATTCCCTGTGATAACAATAAAAGTGAGCAAAAAAAATTTAAAGGATCAGTGTAAAAAATAAATCTAAAATACCCCCTTCCCCCTCCGCTCACACACAAAGCCAAATGTATGAGTCAGCACTGCCTGCATACATAAATAGCGATCGCACCACACATGCTACGTACTACCACGAACAACAAACTGAGGGCAGTAATTCTAGCACCAGGCCTCCTGTGAATATCTAAAGTGGTAACTTGTAAAGGCTTTTAAAGTGTCACCTATAGATAATAAAGTGTAAGTAGTTTGTCGCTGTTGCAGGGCTGTGCGCAATTTTAAAGTGAGACATGTTTGGTATCTTTTTACTTGGCATAACATCATCTTTTATATTTTACCAAACAATTGGGTATTATATTTTTTTTTGTGCATTAAAATTCAAAATAGTTCATTTTTCCCCAGAAACAATTGCATTTGATAAACCACTGTGCAAATACCGTGTGATATAAAAAAATTGCAACAACCGCCATTTTATTTTCTAGGGCCTCTGCCAAAAAAATTATATAATGTTCTAATTAATTTTCTAGCAAAACAAATGATTTTTACTTGTAAACAAAAGGTGTCAGAAAAGGCCTGGTTTTAAAGTTGTAGTACCACCCCTGAGGGAGCCACTTGATGATTGTTGGTTTCTCCATTCTGTATCTCTACCCCAAGAACAATCTGAGCCCCTCTGACATGCCTGATTGCAGAATGACACAGCCTGGACTTGGCTAAAAAGTGGTTAACATGATGCCAGCAGCAAGAATGGACTCTAGAATCTCATGCATCAGGGCTAAACACCCTCTGTACATGAGGCCTTTCTCTTAGGCTACTACTGAGAGCCATTTTGGTAGGGTTGCCACTAATTGGGCACCGAAATGAAAATTCTGGTGCCAAAACCGATACCGGAAGTTCAGAATGCATGTGGCCGAAAACTGAACCGAAACCAAAATATCTGCGTATGTGGGGGTGGGGAGGCTCCAATTTTTTTTTCCATTTTTTTTCTACTTTCATGTATATTTTTATTTTATTTAACTTATGATTATATTGCTATCACATAGGGGACCAATAGTCCCCTATGTGATATCATAT